GTTGACAGTTTTCTGTCGACTACGTTACTTCCGATTTCTTTCAATATGGAATCATTTTTGTATACCATTTGGTGTTAAAAGCTGCAGATATTTGCGTGTTTAATTGAAAAGTCTGATAAGAAATAAAATTTGTGCGATTCATAAAAGAAATTATAACAAAGCCGCTCGCGGTCTAACTGGACGTACTCAAACTGTGATCCGCAGACCGGAGATGATCCGTCTTATCATTACTTTTATTTTAATTCACAAAAGTATTGGTCTGCGTCGTATTGGAATGGGGGAAACTGGGTGTGAGAACATTGCTCTGACGCGTGTTGCATCTATTGTTTTTTAAGTGAAACGTTTCCAAACAGAAAAGTCTTTATGTAGTAGCCTATTGATCCCACATCTTACATATAAATTATTGTTATATAACTTTACATTTTTAAATTAAAAGGATTAGTTAGGCTATGTAAAACATATATGCTTATAAATTTAAATAATAAATTTATAGTTATAAACATTTAATCTGAATTTTAAAATAATTTGATTCTGTTCTCTTTTTAACAAGTTAATCTCGGAAAAAAAATCGCCGTTGTCAAATCTTAACTGGTGAATTTCGTTATAGAATGTTACGGTGTTACGGAAGCGTAATTAAACAAAGTTCGTCAAACTGGTCCGCGGGACGCCACAAGAGGTAACCACGTGTTAGGAATAATGGTGAGTTCTGAAGTAGTTTACGGTAGAAGTCAACGTGGCGTGCTCCATGGTTCAGATGGTTCTGATTTTGTGTCCATTATGTAGTTTTATGAATGAAAATTTACAAGTTGTGAAAACGCACGTCAATATGTATAAGTGTCGTCTCGAGTTTTTTTCGCAGCTACTTTGAATGCTATTGAAACCCATCTTTTAAATTTTCTCTCTAAAAACGCACATTTTAAACTTATAGATCCTGCCATCACGATACTCAATATTACGAGCGTCTTTTTTTTTCACCGTCGTCCGCAAATGTCTACAAACAGCAGCCCAGAGCGACCATTATTAATGTGCGCACCGTAGGGTGTCTTTGCTCTATCACGTGACGCCTGCGAGGTATAGTGCAAACAGAACGAATTCTTCCGCCACGAGAAAAAGTTGTCCGGAAACGCGTCAGAGCTGTAGTCACGTGGGCGACTGACGTCGAAGCCAGGTCACGTGACACGCTGTGTGCGCGTCCGCCCTGCAGTGTGCAGTTCCACGACGAAAACAAGCTTCAGCGATGGCGGTGCACAGTCGGTAAGTAGTCCTACGATTTTTTGTTTATAGCGTTTTTTAAATTAGTTTGCCATCACATATTCGATGTGTTTTGGACATGTCTAGCATGTATGTCTCTATTGTTAATATAATTAAGAGGAAAAAATTGGTATTTATTTTGTAAACTAATACCCCATTTACTAATTTAGAATAAGACCAGAGGTTTTTAATTTTTTTCCCCCTTTGTCGTACTCACCTTAATTCTAGTAATTCATATCCACGCACATAAACAACAACATCCCTCACGCTGAAACACACAGTTCAAACAATGACACATTCGTCGCATCCAATTGCCAACGATTCCATTCACATGCATTATAAAAAACACCATTTCACAACACGAACATGCTTCCCAAAATCCAACCTCTGGGTCCACGTCCCGGGAAGCGGTAACATCGGTCGATACGGCCGATTGCTGAAGAGGCTCTGGTAACAATTTACTTTTGACTTATCTTTGACAATAAAATCTAAATTCAAATTCTTGTAATGATTCGTTTACTTGTATTCAAATGATTTTTTGTTAATTATATACATAAAATATTTTTTCAAAAGTAAACACAGCAAGTGAAAAAGATTCCAAATGATTGCTTTACCAGTATTTCTTATAGAATAAATTGAATGTGCACAAAAAGCAAAAATGGAATAACGTATGTAATACACATTCTAATGATAACTGCAGAATGTGAATATAGTAGAATGAGATTATAAAAGCTACACACTGCAAATGAAAACATTAACTTAAGTAAAAAAAAAGACATGGTAAGGGTATTTTACACATGCTACTTTTAATGTAGCTTAAAATACTCCTGTATTTAACAAAATAATAATAGAATTTAAATGGAATTTTTTACATAGACTTATAATGGGAATCTGAAATTCAATGTACTGTCGTTATTGTTTCTTTAGAAAAATTTCTGTGCAAGGTATAATATGCTTGGTCAATTTTTCAAGAAAAATGGGGGAAAATATAAATTTTAAAAAATTTGACGAGAATTCGCTGTATTTCGAATGTTGGGTAGACCTATGAAATCTCTCGTTCTAAGAACTTTAAATTTTGGCATCTGTCACAACACGCCATTTTATTAGCAAAATTTTGTTTGAGTCATTACTTCACCAGATTTAATTTGCATTGCTAATTTGCAAGGAAGCGAACAAGCTTCCTTGGTAGCAACTCAAAACCAACAGTTTAATAGCATCAATGCCTCTTATCCACAAGCTATAACAAGGGGACAGTAGGATGTCTAAGAGTTAATATCTCAGGATGAGGTAATGATTAAGAAATAAAATTTGATACAGTAGCTACATAAGAGGCATTGATGTTATTAAACTTTGGTGGTTAACCAAACCAATGTCTAGCTGAGTACAATGGGGACTGATTTCTTTGTAATATTAGATGTAATAGAAATTTTTCCAGTTCAATGAGAGAGACCGAAAAGTTGTAAATTTTGGAAATTTCCATGGACACCTGGTCCTAAAACAAATTAGTTAGAAAACAAATGATGGACAATCTATTAAGTTTAACATATTTAGATTTTTACAACTGTGGCAAGAAACGTTTAAAATTTACAACCTGTCGCGTCCTTTGAGGTATACTAGTGATGCAACAAAAGAGGCATTTGACATTGACCAGTATCGGCATCCTCGGGATTTGTCAGCCCGCATGCATGCACTGCAGGACAGTCTGATTCCATCCATTAGCCACTTGTAGGGAGCTATTTGACTAAGTGGATTGTTTAAGATTTAAAAAGTAAAGAATATTTTATGTTATTTTTATGTATGTTTCTTTACAAAGCTATATTTAATTCTAATTTTCTTTAAAAGTATATTCATACAATTGAAGAATATTTTGTACCAGGTATGTACAGTACATCCACCACACATTTTATTTCACCAAGATTTTATTTTTAATTGCAATTCAGAATGTAATTGTGATATAAAAAAATACATTTAGAGAAGTGTATGGTTTTTACTGGCTTATTGAACAAACGAATAGGAATGGACACTAGACCATCACTGACGTGCAATTAACTGATTGCCCCTGGAAGTTGGCTTGTTACAGAAACACAGTTTCTCCATCATCAAATGTCATGGCACACCACTGCTATTGTGACATCACAATGACGAGCTGAAATTTTTAATCATATTTTTAATTTATTTCATTTAAAATTTATGCTTTCCACCTCAAATTAGTAGTGGCTTGCCCCTGTACATCATACTTTTCCTTTAAGAATACAGTTGTGCCGGTCATCTAACAGCTTTCAGAGTAAAAGTTTTAAATTGAAATAACATGACTTCCAGTTTGCATTGTAAGTGCCTATATAGTTAATTGGGGCCTCCTGCCCCTAAGCTTTCCATATCTAGTCTTGTCTTTCATTCATCTAACTCCGTTCTTGAGATTAAAAGACAGACAGATGGACAAAAGTGGGTTATAGGTCTACATTTTTTTTCAAATTGCACCCAATTAAATTCTTGTATTAGATAAGCCTTAAAATTTTTAATCTAATGTAACTTGTGCATGGTGCAACTAAAATGGTGATACTGAGGTGTATTGTGCACCTGCATGCAAGTATTAAAGTTCAATACACTACTCCAAAGGGAAAAAAATAAAGGATTTTATAAGATTAGTTGGCGATTTAATTAAATTTAGACTAAAATATATAGCAATATTTTTTTCTTGTTGACATTGCATTTTATAGCAATGTCAACAAAATAAAGATAAATAAAAAAAGAAATTCATTTTCATAATTTTCTTCCAACATATCACATACTGCTATCTGCTTTCTTGGAGACAAGATATAAAATTTTCATTAAACTCCAATACTTCCAGCCCATCTTTAGGGATATCAACAGAGTATGATGACTAAAAAATTTTTTTTTTTATATCTTGATCTCCAAGAAAACAGATAGCTGTATCTGTATTTCCATCAATTACTATAAATGAAGTTTGAATTAATACTCAGATATAAAAAGTCATACTTCATGTCATTTTGATAATATATTTACAGAATGTGAACAAGATATATTTTATTTGAAGTACTGTACATGCAACTTTTATACTTAGTTTTGCAATAAGTGTATATAAAATAATAATTACAATATAATCATTTAAATTTCTGGAATGTTTAACATATTGTATATTAATGATATTATTATTGTAACTTTTTATCTATTGTATTTTATCTTTCCAAACTATATAATAGATAAATTTTTAATAATTACTAAGTATAATAGGTATTGTAATGATAATCATTATATGATGCATATGAAACCTCCATGGCATAAACATTTAAGTAGGAAATATCTTTTAACACAATATTATTATTATTATTATTATTATTCATAATTCTTAACATTTGAACTCATTTCTTAATATTTTACAAAATTCTAAATGATTTGTCTGATGTATAGTTCAAAAAATAACACAATTTCATCATTATTTTTAAAATCAGTTTATAAACTTTTAAAAAACATATGTACAGGATGATTAATGGGATCAAAATGTCCTAAAATGAATTCTTTAAAAGATGTTTGTGAGAAAAGAACATATCCTTTCAAAGTTTCTTATTCACATAAACACATATTGTTCAAATATAAATTTCAAACAAACTCAGTCTTTTTTTCACTATATACACTTGAAAGCAAACAAACATTTTGAAATAAATATTGCTCTCTGAAATTTGTGACTTTTCCTCATAAATGAGTAGCACATTATAAATATTTCTTCCTAATATATTCTTTTAAGATGGCAATAAATCTATGTTTAAAAAATGACTAGTTATAACATTTTACAAAAATATTTGTAAATAGTACATAATGATTAAAAACAGTACATATTATATATAATATATATGTACTTATCACAATTCCAAAGGCACTAAAATATGTCACAAAACCTTTGTATTTCATTGTTTCCTTCACACACTAGGAAACACAGGGTAGTTGATGGAAATGGAAAAATGTAAATTTCTCAAAAATAAAAAATGGTATCCTTAAGTTATGTGATAGATACATATTAATCTGTGTTCTTATCACAATTTCAAAGGCATTGATATATATTTGTTGCAGACTTTTGTTCTATTGAGTGGTGATACTTGTCATGACATTTTATGGAGCTTTCTGTAGAGACAGTGACCTTAGTGGCAACACACTTCAGTAATATGTCATGTGTAATTATATCTTTATATCTCTCCAAACGCTTGAAGTTTGTTGTACTTAAATATATTGTAGAATAGAAACAACTTTGTTTATGCATGTACCATCTTTGATTCAAGTACAGAAGTTTTTCAAAATATATTTCCAGTAGCTTCCACATCTGCCATTGAAGAAGGATAATTCACATATGTAACATTAAGACCAACCCGTTTTTGCTTGCTTTTCTGTTCTAACTTGGTAATTACACTTTGAACATCTGATTCTAAGTCTGTAAATGAAGGCCTCTTCTTTGGGTCTTCAGACCAACACCGTAACATGATATTATATCTAAAATAAAAAATTTTAATTTGTTGTAATAAATCACTATAGAAATTTTTTTTTAGAAATTTATGGTATTAAAAATGGAATTAAATAATGAAATTTTCATAAAGTTGATAAGTATTTATATTTATAATATATGAATATAATAATGAAAAATATAAAGAGAAGGTTAACTTACAACATGTCTGGACAATAAGAAGGTTGTGGCATTCGACGTCCTTTTTTTAGATAATGTAATATATCCCAGTTATCAACATCTGGATACGGCGTAACACCACGAGTCATTAACTCCCATAATACCACACCAAAGGACCACTAAAATAAGATAAATTTAATGATTAAAAAAATACATGTATAAAGTAGTAAAAGATTATCTGCTTTGAATTTTTGACTTGTCTTACTTACCACATCAGTTTTAGTATTATAAGTTCCTTTTTCTAAACTTTCTGGTGCCATCCATTTAACAGGCAATTTAGTTTTTTTGTTATCACTGCTGTAATAATCTCTTTCATATATGTCTCTTGACAAACCAAAATCAGCTACTTTAACTGTATGATCTTCATCCAACCTGAATTAAAATTAAATTATTAATACATTTTTTTTACTTACAGAATATTATAAAATCATAGTATGATATATTGTTTACATGCAATTCCTTGCAGCTAAATCTCTATGGACAAATTTAAGATCAGAGAGATACTTCATTCCAGATGCAATTTGAATGCCATATTGCAATAAATCTTTTACAGTGGGTGACTATAAAGTAAAAATTAATAATAAATTAATAAATTCTTGACATATTAAACTTATAAGAAAATTATCTATGGAATACAAAATAATTTTTAATACTTAATACCTACATGGTTCTCATTACGAATATATGAGAGTAAATCTCCAAATTTCATGTACGGAATAATAACCATTGGAGTGCCTTCTGCTTCAAAGCAAACTCCAATGAGAGTTAATACATTATGATGATGAAAATCTTTCATCATTAATCCTTCCTGAAGAAATGACTTAACATCATCTTCACCATTTGAAGCATCTTAAATAAAAATATTTATATTTATATATGTGAAAACAGCAATAATAGTTTTTGTAATATTTAATAAACATTAACATAATTCTATTGTATTGTGTTTAATAAAAAAAATATTACTCAATTAAGATTTTTAAATAGGATGTTTTAAAATTCTAACTATTAATTAAAAAATTGCAATTTGTTATATAAAAAAATAAAATATAATTAAAGTAAAAGTAATTTGAAGTTATGAAAAGCATTTTAATAAATCATTAACTCTAAAATGCAAATAAGTTTACCATAGTAAAACTATCATTTGAAAATGCTAAAGGTAAATGTTTTTAAATTATTAAATACATGTATTAATGTTGATTTGTAGGAAATGATAACAAATGGCAAGATTTTTGAAATCATTTACTTTATAGAATTATAGAAGAGAAAGTTAAAAATGGGAATGATGTGATTTGTTATCAGATAATCTTGAAATGTTTTCACATTTTTAAATCTGAATCTGCTTCAATTATATACTCTGGATTCTGATTTAACAAATTTTTTGTTGTTAAAAATTGCCAGTACCTATNTGTCCAATAACATTTCCCAAACTCAAATAATCCCTTATGACAAATATGTTTTCTGCATGTAATAAACGTACAGTTTCATCATCAACTTGATAACTTAAAGGTGAGTTTGGAGAGACAGGAGTTGATGATGATTGATTCCTTCCTCGCATATCTAGATAATCTAAAAAAATATAATAAAAATTTTAAAATTATAAAATATATTTCTTACAATTTATTATTTTCAATATCATAGGAATTTATTAATATCATTTAAGATTTCTCAATTAAAATTGAAATTAACAATTTTAAAACAGAAATTAATCTTATCTAATTATAATAACTTATTAATGGATACGTGAAATGATGGCAGACACACACTTATAATTAGTAATGTCTATCAAATAATATATGTTAAAAATTTAGTCTTGCAATTATTATATTGGTTAAACTTTAAAAAATCGAAAAACATTATTTTTGATTACACAATATTTGCATTTGTTAATTCACATTATGCATGAAAATCTATAAAATATTGTGTTATATGATGATGATTCATACAATGAATCCATGTACTGTGCCTATCCTTTTTTCTACTTACTCTTTTGCAATATAAAGTACTTGCAATTTATTGCTCTACTGTACTGCAATGTAAAGCATGTGTTTTAGTAAAATGAAGACTAATAATAATAATTGATTTACAGTTTTATATATTTTTCTGATTTAATAAATATTTATATAAGTCATTTAATTTCATTTAATCAGCACATTGATTTGATTAAATGTTTTGCAGTTTTTATAATAAACAGTTTGAATGTTATTTTCAGATAGTTATGACATTAACAAAATATAATATAAAAGTTATTAAATCAATTTTACATATTTATTATTGTTATTTTGATAATGAAGACAGATAATATTCTTATTTAAACAATTCAGTAGATGAAAGAACATCAAATGATTATAATAGTCATCATAAAAAGTGTCAGATCTAATTGGTTTAAGGTGCTTAAATTGATTAGATCAGAGAAAGCAATGATAAATATTCCAAAAATGTTTATCTATTAACAGGATTAACAGGATCTTTTTGTCTTTAAAATTTTAAGTAAATGTTTGACATTTTTTTAATCATACTTATAATCTCATTTAGATTATTTATTTATTATTTTTTCAATACTTGTTTAAGTCCTTTATCTGATTCTTGTTTAAATAATAGTCACTTATATTGTAATATTTTTAGAACAGTGTAAATGTTTTGATTTTTTACTTGTATACTTTCCACTGTCAAGGATTTTAGTGAAAATGCTTATAGAACTGTCTCTTTGCTTATTCCTTTTAATAATATTTGGCTATATTATTATATATGTAATTAACTATCTTTTTAATTTTAATTATGCCTCTCAGATTTAAGAATCAGTTTGCAAAATATACAGTGAAATAAATTATTAAATTTAGAAAATTTCAATCATTCTTTAATTATTTCAAAACTACTTGTAAAATTGTGTCGCATTCCACCATGTTATATATATATATATATAT